AAGACAAAGAACAAGGAGTTTCAGTGAACCTTTTTAACTCGAAGACCTTTTCAAAACTCAAAGGTGAAGCAGCCAGGCCAAATCAGCTGTGGCACTTTGCAATGCCTGGTTCGTCCTTTTCGGTTTTGCAGCATTCAACTGGGGGCACGAGGCGTGCCAGCAAACCACAGGGAAACCATGCCTTGCCCAGAGAAATTGAAGGTAACCTTTTGTTGGATCGTGTCATGACCCTCATTAGAATTCTAGAGGCAGCGGGTAGTACATGGACTCTTGAAAACCCCCTTACTTCTTACCGGTGAAAAATGCCATCCATAGAAAAGAAAATGCGCGAGCAACGTTGCCATGAAGTTCATTTACACCAGTGTAGTTATGGACTCATGCTCCGGGACAGCCAAGGACGCTATGGGCCCTGTAAGAAACCCACAAGGATTATAGGAAATCTCCACACACTGAAAGATTTAGCACAGTCATGCACGTGTAAGAAGCAGCATGTGCATGCTGTTGGTGGAGTTCGGACGCCAAGTGGCTGGAGACGCCGTTCTGATTTGGGGGGCATTACCCCCTGCAGTTGCGCCGCCGATACACCAGCGCAGCAAACCAGGCATTTTGGACTTAACGTAATGGTGGTTGTCCCATTCAGTTTTTTGCAGTTTTTTAAAAGTAAAGGTACAGATGTTGTAAAGCTTTAAACAGAGGTTGGAGCAGTCAGAGAAATGAAAGCTGAGCTTCTTATGTCGGCTAGCCATGGGTCAAACCGTACTGCGGGATTGCTTTTTCGTTTCAGTCGCTTCTCAAGACCATATCGCGAGAGGCTGCTGACTGGATTGCGTGACCTCTACGCGTATTGTCTTGAATCAGCCGGGTGCAGCTTTGCGAGGCTTGCTCACACACCAAGGCTTGCAGACCGCATCCTGAGTGAGTATATGTGTTGAGCAGGCATGCGTCTCAGGTAAAGCTGACATTGGTAAAACATGCGCTCTTGGGGGCGCAGCACGCCTTCCCTGGGTTGAAAGGGAAGCTCAGCACCGCCTGGGAACACGTTCGGGTGTGGGAGGAGCAGCAAATTGTCAGATTACGGCAACCACTTCCCATACCAATTTGGCTTTGCATGGTTGGACTTGCCCGTGCCCATAAAGTAGAGGCAGACACGGTGAGCAGATATGACTGGGAAGTGTTCAGTGTTTTACTGGAAATCGGCCTCTTCTGCATGCTTCGCCCCGGTGAACTGATGAGGATCCATCACTCGGATGTGTCACTGCCAGGCTCCTTCATAATGTGTGAACGCCACGCGGCCATTCGTATTGTTTCTCCCAAAAACAGACGCCAGTTTGGAGAGAACCAGTTTGTTTTAGTTAAGCACGAAAACTGCATAGCTTGGCTTGCAAAAATTGTGCGCGACGGTGAGAATCAACCCCTTTGGCAGGGTGGGGCGCGGCTTTTTTCGCATTTTTTCTAAACACTGGTCAACGAACTTGGTTTGCGAGATTGCCGATTTACTCCGGCATGTCTCCGCCCAGGTGGAGCCACCATGTACTTTAATGCTGGAATCAGTATTCCCACTCTGAGATTTATGGGCCGATGGTCAGTTGAAAGATCACTAGAGCACTACATCCAACTAGCTGTTGCCTCACAGGTCATGAACAAGCTTTCGCCGAAAGTTGCGCAGCGGATCAAGCGTTTGGCTCCCTTTTGTTTGTGCCAAGTGCCTGTTGCCCTCGTAGGCTTCGATCTCCCTGACCCACGTGTGTACGTGGGTTGCCACAGACGTGAGCTCCTGACGTGGTGTTTAGAGTACACGCGTCTGCAGGGACAATGCAAGGTCTAGTTGACCAGCACGGCAGCAAAGTTGTGCAAGGTGGCGCCTTGGCCGGCTCACCTTTCCGCCAGCTTTCTGAAGAACAGCTGCGCAAAGCGGCAAAACGCTATCCCTCTGATCCTAGGCTTCGCTTCCTCCTCCTCCCCTCCGCTCTCCATGGGTCCATGGGGTGGGCTTGGATGGAGTGATGCGCACATCCCTTGTCACTAAATTTGCATCGCCTTG